TAACTCCAGCCTTGGTTGGATGTAAAGACCTACTCGGCATTTGGGAAGACCTTCTCTGAGTAAGTGAAAGTGCCGATAATTGCAGGGTCCAGGTTTCTGCTTGACATCCTGTGATGGCTGTTTTCCACCCATCACATAGTGGAGCGCAGCTTCTCTTTCTCTTCTTCAAGTTGTGTTCTGCTGCTGCTTCAGCAGAGTTAGATGGAGATACCTGCTTGTCCTGTAGCTTGCGATAGCTGTGTACGTGCCTTTGAGTTGCTGAGCTGAATGAAAGAGAAATTTGGCAAGTAAGTTATACTTACCCTTTGTTCTGGTTTTTCCTGAATCACTCTCATCTTGGACTACTGATGAGTTTGAAGCATGTACCATGTCTTGCCCAACTACCTTGTTGACTCTTGTGAAGTCTTGTTACTACATGGAACAGACTTTAGTAGTGTCCAAGTGTTCGCTTGCCTAGATGTCACTTTTCAGTTAGGAAGGATAAACTGCTGGAATCACTCAGAAATTAGTGTCTCAGTGCCTCTAAATGAGGGAGGGCTTGCTGCTTTTCCTTCCTTCTCTGCTTTTGTCTGTGGCCAATATTTGCCTCTTCCACGTGCTGTAGTTCCCATCACATCCTTTAGTGAGCCGCTTGAAGCAGCTGATACGACACAAACTTACCCAGCTCTTCACATTGCATTAGTTTTGGGTTTTGTTGTTGGTTGGTTTTTGTTTGGGTTGTTTGTTGTTTTGTTTTTTTTTGTCAGGTAGTCAAATTTAATTTAATGGCAAATAATAAATGATACTGAGTGCCAGAGCTACAAAAAGCAAGCACTGCACTGAGTATATGGCTGGAAGGAGGAATGGCAAGGGAAGATTTTCCCCTTTGGCAGTGTTGAGCTGTTAAGTCACCTCTGCATCTTGTGGAGCAGCAGCCTGAGGCTGCAGGTGCAATTTGCTTTTGTACACCTTCAGCCTGCCACTTCCTTACCTTTCTTCTGGGATTGACAAGGTTCAGTTCGACCTTAAAGTTTTCTGCTAGTTGTGTTAAGCTGCTCTTCAAAGCAGAGCCCAAAATCGTTCCTCTAGAGACAGAGAGAGTGATGGAGTTGGGCTTATGGAGAAACTGTGTCCTATGCCACCGTCTCCAGTCAGTGTCTCTTGCCCTTTGATTGCTGGAGTCAGTTATATTCTTTCACCTGTGCAGCTGACCAGCCTTACCCAAAATTCATGGAAATCAATGGAAGATCTCAGGTTTTTTTCATTTAAGACAGAAGGAGATGTGCACTGGTATTTTTAAAAAATTACATTGGTGATATCTCCTCTGCATTTGTGTTTAACATTTTTGGGCTTCTGTGTTGTTCTTCTCTTTCTTAAAAAACCCCCACAGATTTAGTCATGTAGGCCTTCTCAGAGCCTTTCCCATAACGTAAGATACCTCAAAGGGCTTGGTTTCTGAGTGTAGCAAAAAAAAATAAAGCTGTGACCATAAAGGCCATCCTTGGGACAGGTCAGAGGACCTGTACACTGTTGTTAGTAGCAGCCTGTAGTGTGGAAAGCGATATGCAAAACTGTTTTGAGTATAGGATAATTCCTTTGCAGGTTTACTGTTATAGCTTTTGGCTGTTGTATAAAAGTTCATGATAGCTCTCAATTTATCTGATACATTTCTAAATACCTCTGGGATTCACTTAGAGTGGCTGTAAGCTTTTTCACAATATTTATTGTTATTTGAAGAAAATGTGTGCTGACCTAAGGCAGATATTAGAGTATGTATTTATTTCATAGAATGGTTAGGGTTGGAAGGGACCTTAGAGATCATCCATCCAACCCCCCTGCCATAGGCAGAGACGCCTTCCCCTAGATCAGGTTGCTCAAAGCCTCATCCGACCTGGCCTTGAACACCTCCAGGGATGGGGCAGCCACAATACCTCTGGGAAACCTGTTCCAGTGCCTCACCACCCTCAATGTAAAAAATTTCTTCCTTATATCTAATCTAAATCTACCCTTTTTTAGTTTAAAGACATTGCCCCTTGTCTTATTGCCATATACCCTTGTAAAAAGTCCCTCTCCAGCTTTCCTGTAGGCCTCCTCCAGGCTTGTTAATGCTGTCTTTAGATTGAGATGCCCCTAATTCTTATTTTATGGGAAATACTGAGCATGGTTTGACTTTGACATAAGCTCTGCAAAGATCTGAAGGTATCCTTTTTAGAAAGTATTTCAAGTAGTATGCTTCATTTCAGGGTCTTGCTTCAGCTGTCAACTCTGCTGTTTTATGTGGTTTATGATATAAGAGTTGTAATAAGTGAACTCAGGGGACGATTAGGTTATTGAGAAGAGCAGACCTTCGTTTGCACTAGAAGCAGAATGTCTTTGCCTCCCTTAGGCCAGGGAATTGGCAGCTTCTAGCCATGACTTGACTGTAGCAGGCCTAAAAAAAGTCTTAAATTCGTAGATTGTTACTTCTTTAATGCCAGAAGGAACGGTTGCATCACTTCCTTTAATCTCCTGTCTATCGGTAACCATTACATTTCATTGGATTAAGCTTTTTTTTTTTTCTCTTGGTCCAGGTAATGTGTTTTTCACTTGATTCCTTCCCCAAAGATTTCTGGTAATGATTTGAATGAAGGTATAGAGGATGGAGAATGACTTGCTTTCTGTGATAGCTTATTCCATTAGTCATTCTCCCTGTTTAATAATAAAAACGGAAAAAAACCACCAAAAACCAAACCAAAAGGGCAGCTGTATTGGGGATTTTGCTACTTACTGAATCAAGTGTATAGAATATGTAATTTATATCCTTAAAGAAGGAGATGTGATACCCTGTAAATTACAGGGCTGTCTGATGGATAAGCACGTAAATTAAGTCTTGGTAAAATACTCGGTGACTAAATTCAAGTCTTTTTGTCCAGGAGGATTGTTTTCGTGTGTGTGTGTTAGCCTCTTTGTGCTTTCATGGCATCGGGTAGCGTAGGTCGTTGGGATTTAGCTTTCATGTGACTGTTTTACTGTGATTGCAAATTTAGTGTATATGCACCCCCTCTAGTGGTCTTCAAATAGTAAACAAATTGGAAAAAGTGTCAGCCTTAAGTGTTGATGCTTTTGATTATTTTTTCCATTAGAAATGAATTTTAAATTGTTTTTTAAATAGAACTGAGCTCTGCACGAAATATATTTTATAATATGAAACAAAAATAATTCTACTAAGAAGTCTTTTTTTTTTTAAATCAGCTGATCTTTGTCGGATTTAAAAAAAACAGCCTCATAGTACACATTCTGCTATGCAGTCAGCTCCGTAGTATTTAGTATGAAGGGGAGGCTGTGATGTTCCGAATATCGGAAAACCAAGATGCTCTAATGACAGACTTTTCGCTTTGGACTCAGCCGGAGTCTGGTGCTGGGCCAGGCCTTAATAAGCCTCCTTGGACTTGGACTTACCCTGTGGGCAGCCACTGGCTCTGTCTCCATTACATATTTGGGTGCTTCTGGTTCTTTACACGGAGTCTATTTAGATTTTCACAGTTAATTAGCCGAGGCTCCATTCACCAGGAAAACGTGTCTTCCAGCCCTAGACCAGCCAGCTTTGGAAAGGGGACCGGCTGGGGTGGGATGGCAGGGCGCCCTCCGT